GAGCATCAGTTAAGGTGTTTCTCGAAAATGGCGGCCTACCATGCAATGAATGTTACATTGGTTTTCACCAAATCTGTCCATGATATGGAATTCTCCCGCATGTTCAAGAACTATTCTAGGATGCCGAAAGCTGCTCTGCAGTTATAAAACACTGGACAGAAACAAATGGTCGTTATTTCAAGAAACTAAGGAATCTCCTACTCCATGCGCATCTCTTGTCAGAAGTTGTCGTCGAGGTTCTGAAGGTTCGTGAGGACGTCTGTGTTTCTTACCATTAGTGAATTCGAAAGAGCCAATTTTTAAAAGGCTTCTTTTACTCGTCTTTCCAAAAAAGGCAACGACACCACAGTTCGGATATTTGAGTGAGATTGTTCCCACTCAGATACTCGAATGTAGTGTCCTCAATAAGACCTCGAACACTGTTTTGTTCGAGTCAGACAACGAGCAAGTAATTCAAGGTAAAGATCAACATTTCAGAACAAATCACCGACGAAATCATCATCGTCTTGACGACAATCTCATTTGCTTGATATCTTATACGACTTGTTACGGTTATGAACTGATCTTGTTATAAATTTAACCTATTGTCTTGTGTATTTGCAGAAAGCGTTGTCACGCTATATTTTCAGTATTTATTACTGCCCAACTTTCGTGGTACTTTTGTAGTCTGAGCTCTTGTTGTATGTTAATTTACTTTGTCATAGGGTCAGAATGCCTGCATTTTTCCTTTCAAGGGCAAAAGGGCATCCAAAAAAGAGAATCGGCGTGAAAAGAGTGAGTATCGTTTGAATTCTTGTTCATTTTTTGTTTTTTGGCTTGTTTGAGGTGGGTATTAGCTATTTCCATGTCATGAACTTAACTATAGGGCTTGAAAGATGGGGACGACAAGGAAGCAAGGCTGTCAAGACGGCGGCGAATGATGGAGAGAACAGAAATCAGCTCAGATGAAGACGAGGTAGCAATAAGGTTCAGTTGTTATAGGAGTGATCGGAAATGATCGCGAAAGCTTACCTGTAGGTTTCCGTTGCCAGTGGTCGAGTGTCGGAGGCAAGTGAAGGTGAATATGACATTGAAGATATTGCTCGAATCAAAGCCAAAGAGTACTTGCAAAAACTTCACGTGAGTTTCACCATCTTCGTTGGTCGCCATAGGGTTTCCTTCTAGTTTCCTGTTATGTCAGATAAGCACGTGTGACATAATCTACTGGTGCGCAAGGTTGGAGCTCTCCATAATTGAAATTTTCACACTTCTTTCTATTTCCTGTTTTTTTTTTCTTCATTGCTACTATTTTTCGAGGCGAGGGTGATCTATTCGTGAGTACCACGCTCGCCACGCAGTCAAGTTCCGGCTCATGCTCCCGCTGAGCGCCGCAGCCCACCTCTTACCTCCTGGAGCGTTAATTTGGTAACGCTAGATTTGTCTGGGAGGCTAGAAACTTGACTTGCGGCATGGTGCTTGTTTCCCGAAACGCCACTTTGTAGCGCCATATCGCACTCAATGCGCTATGCGTGGCGCATGCGCAAAAAGGATGATCATTCAAACAAAGAGCTTTGTTTGTTCTTTGTCGCCTTCACTATAAGTTTTTCTTTAGGAAATATCTGGAAAAACAAGAGGAATAGGTAAACACTCAAAGAAGACGCTTGCTAGTTCAAAGGCAGGTTAACATTACGACGACAGCTGGCTGACTTGGCAGAATTACGTGACGAGGAAGAGATAACTTACAGAGCGCATAGGTTGGTCTGAGTTAGTTCAGCTCTTTCTAGTTTCTGAAGGCAGTTTGCTCTTTCATGTTGCGCCATCAGTCGTTAGCGGACGTTTCGGTGTCATAGTTCGGAAAAGATTCAAGCAAGACCTTAGTATCCGTAATGGAGTAGTGCACCCTCTTTCCTATTAGGTTGGCGGGAAAGTTCTGTCATACTTTTTTGAACCCAAGTATTCGCCTATTACCTGAAGAGGGCTAACCGGTAATGTGAGCATTTATACATTAAGGATTGATCTTTCTATTAGTGTCACTGGCTCGGCTCCTGCTCATCCTTATTCCTTAGCGCCTTGAAGGGTGTCGGTGCTGAAGGTAGCGAATAACATTCTCGGCAATTAAGGCAAAGAATGTTATTTCGCCTACCCTCTAGCACCCGATCGCGCCTCAGCGGCGTTGCCTTAAATTATCTCTTCTACCGCCCTGGCCCAGCAAATGACAGCTGTCAGCCGAAAATAATGGAGCTGCACAAGGACAATGTCTACAGTCATCAGACAATCTTCCACGACGCTAGCTCTTCAGAGCGGGAGCCTACGGTTCGAATGACGAAGTGAGGTTCGGGAGTACCTGTAAACTCAGCTCTAGATAGCGTGGATGGGGAAACTACTGGATGAAGAAGCCAGGCCTCCTCGGTCAATCCGTACGCAAGGCAGCTACGAGATCTGAAGCGAATCGTCAAGCAGAGGGCAAAATCCATCGGCACAGTCCGTCTTCAACGTGCTGGTGCAGCACACCCGTCAAAAAGAAGTTCGAGCCGTACTTCATGCAATAGAGCTGGATGGCTGTCCCCTTGCAGAACCGGTGTAGTCCAGAACATTGCTCTTCTGAGCTGCTAGTCGCTTACCGTCTATCAACGTTAAATACAGGCGCAAGAACAACCTCCACGCACTTGAGCCAGTCAAAGTTTGAGATGATGTCCAACTTGCATTGCGCGCCCTGCGTGCTGTTGTTAATGCGATGGCATCCACGAACTGTCCAAAAACTGGCAAGGATCTCTCAATAACATTGCTGTATAATTTTGATCTTGTACGCCTCTCTGTAAAAAGAAAGTCCAATTTGAAAAAATGTGACAGAACTTTCCCGCCAACCTAATACTAATTGCAGTTTTATGATGTGCAGTTTTATGATATTTCTGCAAAAATTCTCTCCCCGCTCGTAACGGCTGGCACGTATGATACCTCTTGGCTGGACCTGTTCTATTATTGTCTCCTTAGTGTTTTTTATTTATTATTTATTTATTTATTGGACATGTCATAGCAACATGTAAAATAAAATAAAAACAAGTTTCGAACATCCAGCAGTAGGTAAGAAACAACCATAACGTAAAAAATTATTCAAATACAATCACCAACATGTTTCTTGAAAGTGGAATACTTTAGAGGGAATATATTTGAACGCAACAGAGAATTGAAGTAGGAGCACACTCTACTACTGAAAAACTTCGACCTATACCTAGATCTAGCCGTGTTGATAGAACAAATCTAAACGAAACTCCCCTTGTGCTAGCTGGCAACACATTGAAGAAGTCCTCAACATTCAATTTAACCAAGTTTCTAAGAATTTTGAAGGTCATGAGTAAGTCGTATCTTTTCCTCCTCCATTCCAATGATTTGAGACCATACGGAATTCCTAACACTGCCAATAGGAATATTGGAATAGCTAAGCCCCGAACATCTGAGCATTAACTTACGTGTAAAACTGTTCTGTACACTTTCAATGGCTTTGATGTCCTTTTTCAAGTGGGGATTGAAGACAGTTGTCCCACATTCCACAATAGGGCGAACATAGAGTTTATAAGTACCGTAAAAGTATGCTAACGTCTTAGTAAGTAGTAGGGCTAGTTTAGTAGGCTTCATAAATATTGGTAGATCCGACGCATACCATTTTTACTCACCAAGATGGCCTTGTAAGTTTTACTAAAATTTAATATTGTACATGCATACACGAAACGCAAGATCTCTAACTCCCTTTACAGACTTTGAGGACTGTCGTTGCTCCCCGAATAATAACTTAGATTCAACTGATGCTCACCCAGACGCATCACTTGGGTTTTTTCCAATGATAAGAGGAAACCGTTAGCCTTGGACCAATCCACTATCCTGTTGATAGCCAATTGCAGAGAGCAGTCAGATTCAACCTCATGAACAACTTTGAAAATCTTGATATCATCTGGCATATAGATTACATAAAACACCTGGACTGGTCAAAATATTCGGCAAGTCAGCGGTGAAAATGTTGAACAATACAGGGGAGAGCACAGCTCCTTGAGGTACGCCACTGCTTGCCTCGCGCACCGTTGATAACGAGTCCCCAACCCGAACTTGAAATGTTCTGTTAGCAAGGAAATCCTGAATCCACTTTACAACCAGAGGATGAAAACCAAAATGAGCAAGCTTATGAATTAACACATTATGCGGTATCCTATCGAAGGCTTTGATGAAATCAAAGTAAACTACGTCCACATTTTTCTTTTGATCAAGAGCTTTAGACCATGCATTCATACAATAAAGTAGAGAGGTTTCAATGGACCTCCCGCTGGAAAAACCGTGGTGAGACGCAGTTAGAATGTGGTGCTTCTGCATGTGCTCGAGCAAATATTTTTTGATAACTAATTGGCCTGTAATTGGCAGGACATGAAAGAGGCTCCTTCTTGGGCAAAGTATGATTATGGAATGTTTTTCAATTTCTTGCACCTCGCTATCTCTCAATAAGACTCGAGGTTGAAGAGAAATTCCAGCGGGCCACAGATTTCAAAAATGCAATTTTTCACAACGACAAAAGGGATATTCTCACAGTTTATGGAAGAGGTTCCATTACTGAAGTGTTACTGCGTCTATTTCAGTAACACTTCAGTAATGGAATTCTTATCAAACCATGGGGCTGGACTGCAGCAGTTGAACTTGGGAAAACCCATATCTGGTGACAACACCCGTGTATTACAGAAGGCACTTTCAAAGGTATTAGCAAATACTTCCGCTTTGTCAGTCTCCGTGATTACCCTAATGGAATCATTCAATAAAAGCGTGCCTATGTTGTTTTTCTGCGACAATTTGATCTTGACTGGTTTATTTACTGTAATCTCTAATGTTGTTTTTTATCTTACTCTTTGATAGATGTTGTCAGGTTCAGTCTGCTTTCGTTAGCAATTACTTGTGAAAGTTAGTTAGATCAGTTTGTTTTTTTTTTTTTTTTGTTTTGGGGAAAGAGTCGAAGCGTAGTGAAATGTTAGTTCCCCGTTTTTTTCAAGGATTGTTGGAAATATCCTAAAATGTTATAATATCAGATGATATTATCGCACGAAAAATTGTTGGAACTATGAAACGTACAAAAACCGGTGGTGAAGGTCAGAAAGCGCATCACGGACACATTTTCGCGTGGCCGTTTCCACCTGATGGAAGGTACATCGCAATCTGTGGGCACAGATGCTGGTTTGTGAATGGTGCGTGTTTTTGAATTTTCATTTAATCTCGGTGATTGGATTCAATAACGTTCAATTCTTCCTAATTTTGTTTGTCCTGATTCTGTTCAATATTGAATCAATATAATGGTCTGGTTCTGTAAAAACGGAAATGTAGTTTCACTAGAAAGCGATAGCAATATCGTGTTCGAACGGATTTTCTAATGCTTGTAGTTTCACTAATGATCTTATTTTTGTGGTGTTGGGGTGTGAAATGTAGAATCCGTGACAGAGAAGTGGATCTACTAAAAAAGTTACTCAGTCCTTTGACCTAAGTATTCCACTTAAAATCTCGTGAAATAAATGCCACAATACATTCTTTTTCTGTTCAGATCTGGATTTCCAATCCTTTGCCAGCATGGTCGAGGATTTCAAAGGGCATCGTGCGCCAATTACGGCCCTTTGTTTTCAGCTGAAAAGAAATTGTTTGTTCAGTGCCAGTCGCGATCGATCTGTAAAGGCTGCAGTTGCCAGTCGCGTATCGATTCGTTGTTAAAGGTCTGTTTTTTTTGTAGTTTGCCTGTGTTCCTAGTCATTTTTTGTTTCATTCTCAGATTAAACGATAAAATTGTTACTTGTTCAGTTATGGGATTTGGACCAAATGGGCTTAGTTGACACCATGTATGGTCATCAAGATGTCGTCATGAGTGTAAGTGCTCTTCAAAAGCAGCGAGTGGTTACAGCTGGAAGGCAAGATCGAAGCTGTCGACTGTGGAAAGTGGAAGATGAGAGCCAGCTGGTAAGAGCTGCTGCTTTTTATACAAGGGGCGGCAAATGACGGCAAAGTGAGGGTACTGGTGTTCAGATAAGAAACAGGTGGTGCTAATTAGCGTGGCCATGAAGGAACAAAATTGCACTCCTTATATATAATTCTCGAATGAAACCCTTTGCGTTCCGGGCATTGTAAAAGGATAAATCGAAGAGAACTCATGCTTGGAGCTCCTCCTTGTTGATATGAAGACAGTATCGGCTTGTTCCTTCTGTCAGGAGGTCAATTCAAGGCGTACAGCACGATCATTTGGTACTTGCTCAAAAATAGTAGCTGTGGTGCTATATGGCGGGGAAAATGACGAAAAAGCGAAGTTAACTAGCTAAAGACCGGCCACGAAAGTCTTTGTTCTACGCGACTCAAGAAGCAGTTGGACGAGTTTCCCCTTGGTGTCGTGCCAATACCACTACGATAGATACGGGAGCATGTATGTACCCAATATCCATGCAGCCGCTTCATATCAATCCCTTTGATTCATATTGTACTTCGCAAATAAAGCGATACATGCATCAGCATCGTCGGACATTTGGGGTGGGGGGGGGCGGTGGGCGTCCGGGTCTGTGGTACCTCCCTTGGAAAAGACGCCTCGCAGCGCCTGCTCAGGAGCGCCGAAATCTCTCCTATTGGGCGTACTAATCCTGCACATCTTAGGAACTTGCCTCCAATCAGTAACTTCCATTATTTCCTGTATTGGTGTGTTATCGAAGTTAGGTACGATTGTGAAGTGGGGGACGGGACGTTGCGCCTGGGGTCGAGGGTACCTACGTTCGGATTTTGAGCATCCTTTGCATTTTTACTTAACAAAAGCGGCTCGTCCCAGGAATGTATGGATTTGCACACCTAGGGAGGATTCTAGCTATCTAGTAGTGATATAGCTGATGTCGATCGGAGCGGTGTCAGGAAGCGTGGAATGAGCCTAACCCCACTGCCTATTGTGCCAGTTGTGATCGGTTCAGGAGGAAAATAATCGAGGGTAGGAAGCGGCGCGGGTGGACCCCTTCCATGCCTCCTGACACCGCCGATTGCGATAATATCAGCTGTACACTGTGCCAATTTTACTTAACTAAATTTGGGTTGTTTGATAC